CAACAGTCTTGGATTGGAACTAAGAAAGAAAATTATTGACAATTACGTAAGTGGAATGTCACAAAACAGCATTTGTGATAAATATCGCGTGAAAAAATGGACCGGATCAAGACTATGTTACAAATATTGTTCTATGGGGAAGTTGGCCGACTAAATGTGTAATAAAACAAAAACGCTTTATAAAAAGACTTTAGCTAACTTCAATTTCATAGAATAATTTATAAAACATTTTTTAAATGTTTTTTAATGTAATTAACTTTTGTAAAAATATTTCACAAAAGTTAATTACAATATACTTCAAAAACACACAAAGTTAAACTAAATTTGAATAAATATAAAAGTATTTTTATGGTACTTATTATTATTTTCATGAAACCAAAGTTTCATGAAAATAATAAGCATATATATGTATATATGTATATATATGTATATATCTAAATATATACATATATACAGGCCTTGTGATAAAGCATCAGGCGATGTGAATTTTACGTCGTCCAAGAGCGGTTTTGCGTGTAGCTAGGGCTATTTGCGTCGAGCAAAAAAATTTTTGTTTGAGTATATTTAAAGATATTTTTGAGCAGAATTTTAATGAAGTAATTTACGATTATTTTAACTTTTAATAAAGTATTTTAAAAACCGCACGCAGTTGATATAAAAGTTTGAATTACAAAAAAATTAAATATGCTCATTATTTACAAGTAGAAAAAATTCAGATTAAAAAAAAAAGTTTAAATCTTTTTAAGCTAACATTTTAATAAAATTATTCACCAATAGCAAAGTTGTCGATAAAATTGAACAAAAATACTTTCTTTTAGTTTTAGATTTTTAACTTAAATAATTATTTTACGGGGGTTTGTTAGGTTTTAAAATTATTCCATAGATTTAAAAATATTTATTAACTGTTAGACGTATTTAAAGTATTTAAGAGTATTTTCGAGGAAACATTTTAAAAATTGGTAAGCGCAAATAAAAAAAATTAAAGGATTATTATTAAAACATATTCTACTTGATTCAATAAAAAAGTACAGCTATTAAAATTTTTGTAAAAAGTAACTTGAAAAAAATTACTTAAATAATAACAATCGCTTTTTTGTTAAAAGTTACCAAAACTCAACGAAGCGTGCTCAAGAACAGCTGCTGAAAAATAGAACGTCAATAGTTTTCGAATAATTTTTAATAATAATTTTTAAAAATAATTTTTTCGCTGAAATATGTCTTTTATACCTATAAGATTTTTATTCTAACATTTTATTTTATTTTACCAAAAATAAAATTCTTTGTAAACATTAAAAATCTATTCAAAACGTTCGTTAAAGTTTTTTAGTAATACGAGTGATTGTGCTTATCAACCGTCTTATGAAAATAAATAAAAAAATATTATATAAAATTGCAAGTAAAAATATTAGCTATTGCACAGTTTTTAATCATACAATATTAAAATTTCCAGTTTATTATTCGCTGACTTTTTAAAAAGAAAAAATAATTATTTGAAAAACTTTAAATTACATATTTGAGAAAATCAAATATTAGCATATTTTATAATCTTTTTTAAATGTTTAGTTATAATGTTTTTTATTCATTTAGTAGACAAAACGTGTCAAACGTCGAGAAAATAAACCAATGTTTTTACATTTTTAAATAATAACATTTCTACATTAATGATTTAAAGTAGTTTTGCGGTAATTAAGTAAATTGGTGCAGTTAATGTCAATAAATATGTAAAGCAAATAAATAGTTAATGACGTCAAAAATCACGTCGTGCTTATGCGTTATGCAGTTTTTATTCATCACAAGGCCTGTATATAAACTTTTCAATATATATGTATATATTATATGTATACAACCCTCGGAATTAGAAAAAATGAGGTCAGCAATAACTTGCCAACCTCAATCTTTTTGAAGTCAGCATCAGGTCGGCAAAAATTATTTGATACAAAGCTCTGACCATAAAGCATAGAAACAAAGTAAGCAACTTTTTGCTGACCTAAGGTCAGCAGTTAGGTCAACATTGCCAAATGCTGACCCTAATTCCAAGGGTTGTGTATATATATATATATAACAAAGATCAATTATAAAGTAGATTGTTCTATAATTAAAAGTTATTTTGGATAGATCATGTAATAATTAGATTATAATACAGAATGGTTTTAGACAGGAAAATCATAGTAAAACATGGTTCTGCAAAATATTTTATTGGAAATCAAATGAAATCAAAATATCACGATAGACACGATAATGGGTTACTTTGGGGGTCTATACTGGCCGCTTAGGACATTTTTAGAATGGGAATTTAAAACTTGGTTACTCGATGTATATAGCGAAAGTGTTAAAAGCCACAGACGCCGGCCGATCTTTACCTTAAGTTTTAATTAAATATATGTTTTTTTTTTTATTTTAGATTTTTCTCTTGATAACTTTTTATTTTTCTCCATTAAATGGAGAAAAATAAAAAAAATTTATCTTATAAAAAAGAAATAAAAAAATAAAAATACACAACCTTGATTCTGATGAGAGGCAGTGTTGGTTGTTTGGGATGTTTTGTGTGTGTTTCTTCTGCTTCTTTTATCATTGATTCAACCTATAAAAATTCAGTTGATAAGGATGTTTTTTAAAGCTATCTGCCATGTAACATAATTGTATATAAAATACAATAAGAGTATATAATAATATAATGAACAATATAAATGCAACTATACTTTAAAAGTATTCATACTATCAAACTACACTAAAAGTTATAAGCTGCAAACACAATCAAAAGTAACAGCATTATTAACAAATGTAAAATAATGTAACTGTTGTAAATGATAAAGTAACAACAATTGAGTTACTTCTAAAGCAAGGTATAAATTGTGACTATTTTTTAATAGTAAAATGTGCAACATTAGCAACAATATACATTAAAAGTCAGTGACTCAAATTTTTAAAATTTAGTTGAGAAATGCATAAAATAGACTTTTAGTCAAGTGAGAATGTTTAGACTTTATTTTTTCTTTATGATAAACATTTATATAATTATGAACAAATAATTACACAAAAATCAAACCATTAAATTCAAACAAATAATTACACAAAACCAATTAAATTCGAACACATTGAAAAATACAAATTAAAAATAAGTAATGATTATGTAAGTTATTGTTTATTTTTCATGGATAAAGAAGTATATAAAAATATACCCCTTTTTTTCATTCTAGTAAAAAAAGTGCATCCAAATTAACTTTTTTCTTTTGAGATATGTCTTTCATTATGTTTCTTCCATATAAATAAAAAATCATCAATTAAAATAATTTTAAAAAAATTAACTTTGAAATTAAAAGAAGTCAAAAATTTGGCATTATTTACAACCTCAAGAGAATTGTTTGTTTTACATATATGTTTCCATCAACAACTAAATAATAGAACATCATAGAAATACAACAACAACTTATATTTCTTATATGTTTCATATATGTTTCGACCAACAACTTAAATGTAAAATATTCACTAAATACTTATAGACTTAAAAAGATTGTTGTTGATAAAATGGTTGTAGCAACCTTTTTTTAATTTAACTACCATTAGCTTAAAACTACAAGTACAAATGATGTTATACTCTATAAGTTTCCACACTAGTTCCTATTCCTAACAAGGCAGCAAGCTACTACTATTTAAGCTGGTAGTAAACAGAAAGCAAGAAAATATTCAAAGAGCAAGTTAACAGTTGACAGAAGACTTTAAAAACTGTTAATTGTATGATTTATGAAGAAAAGAAGACAGGATAAAATTCCAAAGTATTGAGGAAAAAAAAAAACATTAGATGAATACAAATTTTTTAGAGCATAAAAACTGTTACAGCAACAGTTACAGTTAACATATGCAACTTAGCTGACTGGTGAATCATGTAAGATAGAGTTGTGGTTAATGAAAAAAGTAATGATAGCTTGCTTGAGCAGCCATCTCGGTAGTATTTGTAAAAAAGATAAAGAGATCTAACCATATGAAGATGAGACAGGAACCCAAGTTTGGCAGTTAAAACCGGTCTAACATCATTTATAATACATTATTGGGCCTTGTATAAAAAAGAGAAAGGGACTCATCAAAAGAAAAAATTGCAATGATTATCTGCCAGATACAACCAGCTCAAAGCTTAATTTTTGATCAAGGCTGGTATAAAAAGTTGTCATCAGCAAATAGAGAGTTTAGAGAAAGATTATCAGGAAGATTAAAAATATAAAAAACACAGATCAGTAAAGATAAGAAGAACACTGTTACTGGAAATGAAGGAGAATGTTATCCATTAAGAACAATTTTAATAGAGAGCAATTATTCAATAACTTAGAAATGCAATGAACCAATAACTTAAAAACATTCCCAGGTAAGCTATATGAAACGAGTTTATGGGGAAGACCAGTATTCCAGACATTATTGAAAGCCTTTGATATTTCATAAGTAATAGCCACATCATTTCCATTAAATACACAATAAAACTTTTCTGTTATAACAGTTAACAAGTCTGCAATAGAACAAGAAGATCAATTTCCGATTGTTGCAAAAAAAAATTTGAAACTTTAAAAGTTTGTAAATTAAAGATTTTAAGATAATAGTAGTATTAATAATAGTAAACAGACTGGGTGATAGTCAGAAGAAAGTGTAAGGGATTGGAGTTGTCTAAAAAACAAGTCACAAGGTTAACTAAGTATACAATTGAAAAAGATAAAAAAATTTCGGCTTTAGGGGCAGCAGGGTTGGTTATTTATTCAGTGATAAGTATTAAAGTCGATATTAAAAGCAATATTAGCCGAGTGAAACAACATTGAAAAGAATGCCTTGGAAATAACGAGAAAAATAAGAACAAAAGGTGTTTGAGTAAAGGTGTATGTGAAGTAAGTAAGGTGTATGTGAAGGAGTATGTGAAGTAAGTAGGTGTATGCAAAGGAGTATGCAAAAGCACATAAATAAATAGTTAGAGGATTCAAACTGATTTAAATACCCAGGCCAAGCAATTGAGTTATCAATGGAGTCTATACAAATCAAAGGATAATAGTTATCAACAATAAAATCCAAGGGAAAAAAATTTGAATTTAAATTAGTCTCACAAAGAGCAAGTAGGTCTGGTAAATTTTACAAAAAGTAAAATTCAACAGAAGAAATGTTACTTTGAAGACCACGAATATTTGTAAAGAATAAACTGAAGTAGGTCTGGTGAATTTCACAAAAATTAAGATTCAACAGAAGAAATGTTATTTTGAAGACTAGGAATATTTGTAAAGAATAGACTTTTTGTTAAGTTTTTTATAGTTTATTCATATTTTAAGTTAATAGAAAACGTCACTCAACCAGAAAGTGCATGATACAACAAAGTTTTGCAGTTGATTTATACTTGTGTAATGTTGTAATAAAGAACTTTAAACAGCCTCAGCTATGAATACCAAAATCACTGACAGGGACACTGTTTCTGTGCAACATACCACTGTCAATTAGCTGTCAATTACCTAATAATTCCACAACATTTGATGGAATCAGTTCAAGAAACCTTATTTACAGCTGGTCTCAGAACCACTAAAATAAGTTTTAAAACTGTACCCTTATTAAGAAATAACAGAAAAAGTTGCTTAGTCACTGCCAAAGAGTCAACTAGTAATTATTAAGCAAAAACCCATGTAAAGTCAAAAAGATCCAATGTCTATCATCCTAAGCAAAATATGCTATAAAATTGGTTTACATCTACAGCCTAATAGATTAAGAAAGAGTGTGAGACTAATCAACTGAAATTTTCTGCTTACTCCTAAACTCTTTGCCTAGGAGGATTTCAGTAAGACTTAAGCTGGATGCAGTTGACGTCAGGATCACAAGACAAAGCCAAGATTCCAAAAACAGAAGATAATTTAAGTAAGAGTTAACTTGAAGTTAAATAAAAATAATTGTGAAAACAAGACATGTTTTTATGACTTCCTATTTAAAAACATAGTTATATGATTCTGTAAAACAAGGAATGATATACGATTAATTTGTTTATGTTGGCAAGTACTGAATTGTATTCCAATATTATGATTTAATATTGGAATTTATGGTTTAATGTTGGAATTTATGACATTAAAAAAAAAGTAAATTGAAAAGCATAAACTTATCTTAAATATTAATTTGAAAGTTTTCTGTGGTATTAGAACTCCTAAATTTTTGCTTTTTTAACCTTATTACGCACCTTTTAAAAGATTTAAACTAGACAAAAAAAATCAACTTTAATATGTAACAATCTTTTAAAATTGATTTTAGGTTTTAAGTCTGAAATTTATATTAAAGTCTAAAGTAATTTTTTTCTCTTTTAACAACTTTGATATAAAAATTTATAGTCTGATAAAAAGAACTCTCCATTTTTAAAAACAATATAATTTTTACATTATATTACATTTACATTACATTAAATTGTGCATAAGTATCAAGAAAATTATTTAAAATGAAATGAATGATTTATAATAAATAATAAAAATAGCTAATATTTATAAAATGACATAAATCTAATAATATTCATGTCATTTTATTTTAAAAATAACTAATAGTTATATAAATGACAACATATAAAAAATATAAACAACAAAAACGTAACAAAAATGAACATTACTGTGTCTGCAAGGTAGCTGAGTACTTGTTCATCTTCATGAGGTTTAATTGATGTTTCCCCGAGAACAATATCATCCATTAAAAACTGCCGCACTGTTTTTAATGGTACTTTTTCCATTTTGAATGATTTATTATAAATTTGCAAAACTCCGACATATCTAAAAAATAAAAAATTAAAAATATATATAATAACTATAAAAAAGATAATGTTTGAAAGTGTTGATAAAAAAAGAGATCTTAAAAATGGTTTAGTACTGACAGCATGCAAACAATATTTACTGTGATAGTGTGCAAAAATTTCTTCAAGCAATAGTCTGCAAACAGAAGTTTTTATTTTACAATCAATAAACAGACTGCAAACAAAAATAAATTTACAATTACACTTTATTATTTAAGTAGGTAACAGCAAAATCAACAATTAAAAATTTCTTCCATAAATTTTACAATTAAAAATTTCTTCCTTATTTTGTGCTTTAAATAATAAGTTTAAATTTACTTTAATATGTTAATAATAGAGGAAGGGAGGGGGGATTAAAATTCTAATTTTTTTGTTTAACCAGTTATTCTTAATTAATTTTTATAGAAAAGTTCAAAATACAATTCAGTTTTTGCTATTTTTTTTGTGTTTGACCTTCTACTAATATTTTTAACATTTTAAAAATATTAAAAAACTTAAAAACTAGAAATCTTTGCAGTGTATTCTTTGCACATAAAGTTAAGCAACTTTTTGATAAAATCTATACAATTTAAATTTTGATTGGATAGATTTGAATTAAAACAAATAAAAGTTGCATTTAAACAACAATAAGTCTTATTGAGTGTAAAAATTTGCTTTCGATTTACTTTGCTAGTAAATATTTTGCTATTAATTTTGAAAACTAAATTTAAATACCAATTAAAATATTCTAACAAGAAGTAACAAACTTGTAATAAATTAGTAAACAAATAAATCAAAATTAATAAACTTCTTTAGAAATCTCCCAGTAGTTGAAAAATTTTTCATATAACGTTTCCTTTACTCAGGGTTCTTTATGTACTTGTCTTTAATAAAGTCAATAATAAATTATATTTTGAAAATTTTTATTAAATAAAAATGACTGCTCAGTAGTCATAGAAACAGTTTGTATATACACATCAAAAAACTTGGATGATTTTATCGTTCAAATACAATTTTGCAAAAGCTATATTTTTTCAACAGAAAATAAGAAAGAAATTATGGGTTTGGAAAATGATGCAATAATGGAATAACTTATGTATTATGTTTTTAATCAGGTTTTTACAATTTATAAAACAATTACAAACAACATTAAATTTAAGCATCAGCGTGGCACTCATTGCAATTGGCTTTGTCAATAAATATATAGAAAAAAAGATCTGTTAAATATCAAAAACAATTAATAAATGGGATGTTTATTTTAGTAATACAGTAAATTATTGCAGCGAAGATCCACTTTATTTAAAATCATAGATGTTAATAAAATTACAAAAAAATGTTGTCTTATGCTTACAGAAGAATAAGCTAATAGTTTAAAGTTTCTACTGGTAAATCCTCACAACAATCCAGAACCACCTACAATGACTATTTTTTAGTTGGTAAAGTGCCCCAAGAAGAACTAAGGGTCTTATCACAAAGCATTGTAGAAAAGCAATTTAACTAGGAAGTTCTCACCTTCTCTTTTGTCCCTTATCTGGTCAGAGCCAATATCGAACCTCAGACATTTTGATTTTGAGAAAGGATTACAATCATTGCACCACAGCTGTTATGAAGTTATTTTGCATTTTTACTAGTAATTGTTTTAAATTGTTCCTTATATGGACTAATTTCATGTATAATGCCTAATTTTTTATTATTATATAAAAATAATATATAATAAGGACACCTATTTTTGGACAAAGCTACTTCTTGACATTTTAGTCATAAACAATATCAAAAATAAATAATAGATAATTAATGCATCAAAAATACACAAAGATTACTATTTTACTGATCTTCATAAATAATTAAATATTAATTATAATTAATTAATTGAAAATTTTAGTTTAATCAAGATTTATCTAATTAAGATAAATTAAAAGTTAAAAGCATAATATAAATTATACATAAATAATTAATATAAATTTCTAATTTCTGAATAAACTAAAATTCACATATTTCTAAATTTGTTACTTTTGTTTTGACTCTCCTTCTGATAATGAGGTTGCAACACTAGATCCAGGCTGTGAAACATAAAAGTTTTTTGCAGATGAAGACCATGTTGGTTCTATTAAACATTCATGCTCATGGCCCCAAATAACCAAATCAAGAAAATCATCAAGGAAGTTTTCAGGTATATGATTTTTTTCACCATGTTTTGATCTGTTAAAACAAAAAAAAGATATAAAAACCAATATTTTTTTGAATTTATCAATACTTATAATATTGCTAATCATTTTTTGCATGTTAAAAATTACTTGAAATAACCTGTTTTGGTGAATAACAAACATATTAAACCAGGAGTTTTCATCTTCTAATGGTCGCAACATCTTGACCTTTTTTTGAATAAATGTGCGATGCAATCTCTCATCTCGCATAGCACCCAGACCAAATAAAGCTAGTTTTGTTGTGCCTTTCTTTAGTAAAACAGGACTAATTTCAATATCATCACAGTTTTTTGACTTTCCAAAGTGATTTAAAAGTCCTGATGTGCTCAAGATGTCAATAGCACTCAAATGGTGTTCCTAAATATTTTTAAAATAATTTAAAAAGCCAGCATCAGCCAGTCAAGCCGCCATCATTACTTAATTGTTATAAAGTACAATGATGTTTAAAATGGTGTATAAAAATGGTGCTTCTAAATTTATAAAATGATGCTTACACTGTTTTCTTTAAAATGGTTTATGAAATAACGGTTAAACTGAAGGGCGCAAATTAAGCATATTGCGATTGTGAATCGTGATTGCTTTTCATACCCTTGTGATTAGTTTTTTTGTTTGTTTGTTAATATTTTGCTTTTTTGTTTATTAACAATTAACAAGTTTTTTTCTTTTCTAATTTAGCATTTTTTTTGGCCAATCTTAAAAGAAATGTTTTTGTCTAAGTTTTTATTAGGGGTCATTAAGTATGTCACGCTAAACTTATCTATTGATTGGAAGTATGATCTTTGCTCTCTTGCACATTTTTATTCAACATAAAGTGCATTTTATTCAACATAAAGTGCATTTTATTCAACATAAAGTGCATTTTATTCAACATAAAGTGCATTTTATTCAACATAAAGTGCATTTTGAATTCAAACAACTTTAAATCTCTGCGTGGAAGCCAATATTTTAAAGTTATATTTAGTTTGATTTACTGAATGGATAAAGTACATTGCAGTAAATTAACCTTTAAGTAAGTTACTACAGTAACTTACAGTTACTCAACTATTAAATTTACCTAATATCCTCAAAGACTGGGGAAAGTTAGCCATACGAATGTTTCTATTTATATCTTATATGCTGTTAACATATAAATTATTTTAATAAGAAATTTCGAATAGAATATGAAAAATTTAAAACCATTATTTTATATTTTCATTTTAGTTGTTTTTAGGAATTTTTTTAAAAGGGAAATCAAAAAAATTTTAGTCTTCTAAAACTTACTTACTCAAATAATTTTTTATTTCAAATTTCAATTTGTAATTGAAATTTGAAATAAATAAAAAAAATTGGAAATCTTTAAAGAATTTTAATGCTAAATAATTATAAATTTAATTGCAGCGGCATCTGTAATATCCAGTGGCATAGCTAAGATGGTTTCTGAAAGTTAAATGTATATCTAACTACAGTAACAATATCAAATTTAGAACATAGTGCAAGTGAGAATGGAAGTTTAATTTAAATCATAAACATTATGAATAGTTAATTACTTTTTATTTTTCGAAAATAGTTTTTAAAGTAGAAACATTCTATTGCAAACATTAAACCAGTGATTATTGCAAACGTTACACCAAAAATTAAATTATAGAAAATTCAAATTAAAAAAAATAAACTGTTTTACTTCTGTTCAAAGTAATTTTTTTCTAAAAAATCTCTTTTCTTTAAGCATATACTTAAACTTAAGGAAATATAATTCGATTTATTAAACCAAATTTTTTTCTTTCACTTTTTATTGCAAAACAATTTGAATGAAAAAATTGAATGAAAACATCAACTTGAAAACCGTTTAAATGAAAAAATTAATTATACTTAATCTTTTTTTTTTTCTGCTATAATATTTTTTTGCATTTAATTGAGCACTGCACAGTTTACTTTAAAATGGTGCATAAAATAAGATTTACACACTAATAGAAATATCTAACAGTATCAATATCCATCAAATTTAAAATAATAGTTAAATTAATATTTATATATAACTATTAAATAAAATTACAAAAATATAAAAAATTTTAAATTCTGATGTTAATATAAAGTTATAAACAATTATAATAGAAAATATAAAAAGGTTAATTTATTTCTTGAATCTAATTAACACACTCTTCTTATCATCTCAAAGGATCATTTAATCCATTGTCACAATATTCCTATCACAGGCTTACAAATCTATTCTTGAGAACTCTCTAGTGGTCTTGCTACTATAACAGTGGCAGTCTTCTCCAGTGCTTTTGAACTCAAGTCTTGCCACTGTTTTTTTTGCACTCGCCCACATGCTCGCAAAAACTTTTAGCTTGCCAAAACAAAAAGCATTTTGTTTTAAATTGCAACAAAACATTTTTATTCATTTATTCAACTTTTATGAAAAACTGCTTTTTTTTTTACCAGTTTTTTTTTTTATTATTTTATATAGTATTTATTTAAAACATTCTTTTTGCTATTTTTATTTTAATCTAAATAGCAGAAAAAAATGAATTTGAAATTGCGCAGGCTAACTTAAAAATGACCATCCTGGCAGCATTTTTCATAAGCTAGCATTAAATTTCAAACGAAGGAGACTCTAGTGGTGTAATGTAACAGCCGTCTGGGAGTACAAAACAACTTGTTTTCACAGTTGATAACTGAAATTTACTTAAAAAATACTAGTCAATTGCACAGCAATCAGATAATTACTTTTAATAGTTAAACTAATTAAAATTAATTAATAACTTAATTGTAACCATATTTAATAGTTAAACTAATTAAAATTAATTAATAACTTAATAGTAACCATATTCAATAGTTAAACTAATTAAAATTAATTAATAACTTAATAATAACTATATTTAATAGTTAAACTAGATAAAATTTTATTAGAGTACAATAACTAAACCTTATTTTTAAATAATCTGCAAAAATATTTATTGTAATAATTTTACTTTTTTAATTCACATTTTTAATTATTTAAGCGTCTCCTGACTTAGTTTAGTAAACATTTTTTATAGTAAATTTTGCATTGTTACAGATAAATATTATAAATAATTAAAGATAAAAATTTTTTTGTGTCAATAAGTCTTGTGTTAACAAGTCCCTGTGTAATAAGCTAAATAAGAAAAAACTAAACAGTTTACAACAGGAAGTAAGTTGTGGGTGGTAGCCTTCTAACAACAAAAAAAGAATAAACAGAAATGGAATTGGAAGGGTAGCCTTTTAACAAAAAAAAAAGAATAAATAGAAATGGAATTGGAAAGCAATTTCTTAAACCAAGTAAACTGGCCATCTTTTGGACAGGGTAATTATTTTCCTACACTTAAAATGTTACATGAATGGTGTAGAAAATCTCATAAAACTATCAAACAAAGTAAAACATCTTGAAAATAAAGATAAAAATAATTTCAAAATCATTGAAAGTTTGAAAGATCATTTAAGTAAATCTAAGAAAATCTTGGAATTTCATCTAAAAAATTAGGTTCTTGTGAATTCTGGAGAACCTTCAACAGTATCAATAATATTCACAATTAAATCTGGTAGTGTATATGGTGTTGATGCAAGTTTTGTACTAGGTAACATAACTAAAGGTCATAGACTTATTTTCTTTAATTTTGCCTTGAAAAACAATGTCAGCAGATTAGCTCCTAGTAATTACAAGTTTCTATAAAGCAAAGCCCAATTTAGTAAAATTTCTGATTATATGTCTTATATTGATTGGGTGAAATTATATGAAACAAAACCTGTACAGGACATGTACAACAAGCTAATTTACTATACAACTGAGGCATGTAACTTATTTATTCCAACTTCACTAACTAAAAGTTCAACAGTCCCTTGGATTAACAATGATATCAACCAATAAAGGAGAATGATTAATAAGGAGAAAAAAAACTTTAAGATACAGATTGGTGTTATGTTTGCAGTCTGCAAACATAATACCAATCTGTAAAAAAAGGTGACAAAACTATTTCTAGCAACTGTCGCCCTGTCTCATTAACATTTGTTCCCATGCAAAATATTAGAATCTATTATAGAAAAAATTGTAACAACCCAACACCATGGATTTGTAAATGGGAAATCTTGAACCACAAATTTGTTAGAAACTCTAGACTTTATTTCTTTTTGCATTAGCAATGGTATACCTGTGGATGGAGTAATGCTAGACTTTGTTAAAGCTTTTGACACTGTTCCACACAAGACACTTTTAGCTAAATTAAATGCATATAGTATTCAGGGTTTAGTTTTAAAATGTATAGAAAGCTTTTTAAAAAATAGAAGACAAAGAATTATTCTTGGTGAAATTGTTTCTGAGTGGCTCTGTTATTAGACTCTGATATTTATTCTATGTATTTATGATCTACCAGTTTGGTAGTTTGTCAATATATGCAAATTATTTGCTGATGATACCAAGATTCTATCCAAAGTAAATCAAGAGGAAAGTACCTCAAGTCTACAGAAAGATTTGAACGCAGCATTCAAATGGACAAAAGACTGGCTTTTAAAGTTTAATGCCCACAAATGTGGAATATTGGAATATTCCAATGGTACAAAATTACCTGAATCAAAATGTAGAAATAATTTAGGAGTGATTTTTTTGAAAATCTAAAGTGGAAGTACCAAGTGATTTCCACAAAAAGCAATGCAAGTAAAATATTGGGCTGTGTGAAAAAAGTTTTTGCCATATTGGATTGCCAAATACTAAAATCACTTTATGTGACTTTTATCTGTCCTCTTCTAGAATCAATTTTGATGGTTAAGTTATGAATAGCATTTTATCCCTATTTGGGGTAATGAAACTTATGTTTTGTTTAACTAAACATTTTAAAAAATTAATACTGTGAATTATTCTTTTAATTTATTTATTTTTGCATGAAATATTTCTTTAAAAGTTCTAAAAAAGGTGGTAGTAATTCAAACTAACTGCTCCCTTTTTCAACTTTCTTTTTTTCAATGGATTGCAGCAATTATTTCAATGGTTTGGTGCCTTGCTAAAAACACACTTTAAAAGATATTTGCATTGAATAAGAACACCTTTGAGTGTGTCTTCCTGAGGAACACCTTCCATTAGAAAAAGATTCCATCTAAATGTTACTGTCCTTTTGAAACAGTTGTATCCAAACTTTTGGAGAAGAGGGATTAAATTACTACTGCCTCATATTTTTTGAGATTTTAAGGAAATATTTCACACAAAAATAAATTAAATAACTAATTCACAGTATAAATTCTTTAATATGTTTATTTATGCAAAACATAAGTTAGGTCATTACCCCAAATAGGGATAAAATTACATTCAAACTCATTAAGATTCAAATTTAAAAACAGTGTCACATCCATGAGTTATAAAAACAGTGTTTTATGTATGTCACATCCATGAGTTATAAAAAACAAGACTTCATTTTAGTGATATCTACTTTTTGAATTGTTAAGCACATTTTGAATTTAACTCATAAGCGCTAAGAGCATAAAATAAAAAATTTGGCATTTTATTTTAAAAAGCTTAAAAATGAAAACAGAATGCATAACATCACTGGGAATATAATACCTTATTTGATACCTTATTTAATAAGATAATGTTTAAACATGATACCTTATTTGATAATCAATGACTTATTAGGTTTTGTAGATTACTAGAAAAGGGGGGTTGTGTCCAAGTGTTATTGGAAGTGTAAGTGCAATAAAAAGTTTTTTTCATTTTTATTTTTTAGTTTTATATTTGTTTTTATTTTATGTTATGTAAGATAGATCAATCAACAGTTTTTCTTTTTACACAATTTTTTGACTAAAGATAATTCTTCTCCTGCAGACTGCAAACACCAAGACAATGCCAAATTTATTACTTATATTTAATGATTGCTTTTTAAAATAAAATATAATTATTATGAATATAAATTTCTTAGGTTTTCTTATTTTTTTTAAGTATGTGACATAATTTTTTTTTTTTTTTGTCACAAGAGATCTAAAACACTGTTGTTTTGCATGTCACTAAGCCAGATTTTCCACACCACATTTAATATATGTAAATGTAGCCTTAAAATTTAGGCATTGTGACATTGTGACACAATAGTCTATTATATTTCCAATGAAAAACAAAAAATCTCAATATTTAACCATACTCAATTTTAAAATGTCATGTGACTATATAAAATATAAATGTCACACCATCCTTAATTTTAAAATGCTGTGTGACTAATTAAATTTTAAATGTCACACAGTTATTCAAAAGTTGTACAAAAATTATATTTCTAACAGTCTAGCCCATCTTATCCACATGTTTTTTTAGGGTAGGACTGACCTTTAACATTGTAGAACCAATAATCTAGCTCAATTCTTTTGTTTAAAAAATAATTCCCTTGCGCGAGTTATTAGTACTACTTTGTTTATATAGTGTTTAAGCTGAAGTTTGTTAAAAGTTTCAAATTTTTTTCAGGGATTCTTCAATTTTAGGTTTGCTGCTATCTTTTGGTAATGAAAAAATTTTAAAGTGCTTACAATATACATTAACAGGTCTTTAAAAAAGTACATTTTAAATATTTTATTTTTTCTTAATTTTTTTAAACAATGCGGTTTTTGTTTATGTTCTCACTTAGATAGTTTCAAATTTTTTTTTTTTTTATGAAATAGCTGATGATAACAGATTGTAAAAAATTTTTTTTTTTTTACACTTATCGAACCCTTTTGTGTGTATTAGGGAAAATGTGTCAATTACATCAGTAGAAACCAGGTAACGAAACCAGGTTATGAACGCTTGAACTAATTTGTTTTGAGCAAATTTAAACAAATAAAACTAATTGAGTTTTCAAGTGATTTTTTTTGAGTGACTTTTTACATTAAATTCGAATAAATATAATTTTGGTGAATCAATTAGAATACGTTTTAATAATATTTATTTATAAATGCAAGCTTTTGATTTTTTTTCTTTATTCTATTATCACTTACTGATTTTTAAAAAAAACTTTACTCAAAATTACTCAAAAATAGATTAAAAAAGGTCTAACAATTGTAAATAAATGTTTAAATATCTATAGAGTAATTATTCCCAAGTCTAACAAGTGCCCTTAAAATAATTATTTAACTTAAAAATCTAAAACAAAAATTAACTTTGTCCAGTTTTAAAGCACTTCTGCCCCACTGTAAGTCATGGCAAACTTAATTTATGTCAAGTGAAAAATTAAGTTTTGTGGAATGGCAGTTTTATTAAGCAATTTGGTGTGACATTTTTAACAGCATAGCTAAGCTTGACAACATTAAATAAATTTATGTTGTATCTTTTTTTTTTGCCTTTTTTAATAATTTGTATGGTAATGCAGGGCCTATTCTAGGAAAAAAATTTGGGCGGCAGTACCCCCTAGTTTTGGTGGACTTTAAAGGAAAATTGGCGTTATTTTTGCTGATTTAATAGTCCAATTTGAAAGCTTTAAAAATGACCCATAACTGGCATTTTATTGAAAAAAGGCTTATTATGCCTTGTTTCAAAATTATAGGGAAAACTGTATTTGATGTTGTATAAGATTTACTTTTTACTAAAAAGTATAAAAACAGACCTATTCAAAGTTATAGTGAACATTTTTACACAAAACATTTACAACTGATGCTTTGAACACTGATTTTGATGCTCTAATTAGTGACTGTCAGCAAGTGAACACCACAAAAAATTGCCAATAGTCTTGGGAAGTAAATTTTTAATAATTAAAATCTTAAATAAGTAAATTTTCAAACTTTTTTTCAGTTATTTATTTACTTTGTCACTGCTCCAGTTTAGCATGGCTTCTGAGAAAAACATAAAAGAAAGCAAAACAGCTATTATTGGTAATGAGCTTTGCTACTTAGATTATATTGATGAAACAACCTGAAATGACTTTAACTATGAACATTGAACATTGGATTCTCAAGCAGAACTTGGTAATAAATTGGGTGTAGCGAGTCAAAAAAGATCATATATGGACAAAAAACAATCTATTTATAGATATCTTTTAGTAACTAAACATAGTTGTATTTATCAACATTTTTTCATGCAACAAAGCTGTATTAATAGATTTTTTGTAACTCTTTGTTGTTCTGTAAATTCTTGGAAACAGTAACTTAGTAGATTTTTTTGTAACTCAAAAAAGTTGTATTTATAGATGTAAGTTATATTTAAAGATATCCCTTAGTAATTAATACAATTATGATTAATAGTGTGTTTATATCTTGCAGTAAAAAATTGCAAACACAAAATTAAAATACTAGACTACTGATAATTATTATAATTATGATAATTATAGGAGACACTTAGACAAGTTTTAGTCTTGACAAAAACTACTACCTTCAACAAGACAATTATTTATGCTAACTTTAAATAACTTATTTCCTAAATTCTTTATTTCATATTATTAAAAATAAATCATACGAGCACAAATTGACAACTTTGAGATAAAATAACTTGAGATAAAATAATCTAATATAACCTTGAGAAACATGCACTCAAAAAAAAAAAAATTAAAAAAAATAGATAAAAGCTTTCAAAAAATAATTTACAATTTGATTGTAAAATAATAAGTATTTGACTATAAATTTAATTAAAATTATTTTAATTGAATTACAAAAAAAAATACCTTAAATTACAACTTAACTACTATTTAATTAGCTATATATTATTACAAGTATTGTGCACTGTAACAATGCACAAATAAATGAAAAACTGAATATTTTAATATGTTAAACAAAAATATCAACATACCCCTGTAGGATCATCATGGTTTCCATGAATTGAAAATATTGGGTAGGCAACATTTAAATTAGGATCGTGGTAATTTGCATGCTTAAATCTAAATGAAAAACCAAAATAAAACTCACAAATAAAAACGAAAACTAGAAAATAAAGTTTAGTTTATTGAAGTTACGAGAGGTTGTTTTTTTCTCACCCTCACAATAAAGGATGAAAAAAAAAGGTTTTTCCTAAGTATATCATTATGTCTCTAAAAATACTTTTCTTGAGTTTGTCAAAATGGATCTGAAAAAAAAAAATTATTTTATACAGAATTTTTCCATATTTTATTGTGACTATCATTTTTGTAACAAAAAGTAACAAAATTTTTGTAATGTTTTTTAGAATAACTTTTTTAGAGGTGTTTTTAATAAAATTAATTATTATTTTTTAAACATGTTTTATTTCTTTTTAAGATTCAACATTTTAAAGACATATGAAATTTAATTTTTCTTTTTTATTGATAAGATTAGAAACTTGTTTAAATAACAAATTATTATATGTAGTATGGTGGTATTTATCTATTAGTTGGAGTGATAGTGATATACACTTATTAGTCATGTGTCAAAACAATTGTACCCAGTACCCCCAAAACCATTTTTGAGACCTGTCTAAGAAGAACAACCAATGATTGTCCATTTTTTCTGACAAAAAAAAGTTATACTTTTTTCCCTTCTCTAGCGGGTCTTATGAATGGTCTAAGGGGCAACAATGTCAAGCAATTTTAACCCCTGGTTACAGTGATAGTGACACTTATTAACTGTAGTGACAATTATACTTTATAAGACTAACTCAAAGAAGTAATGAAAAGGTGAAACTCAAAAATCATTTAGTTACTTTATTCTTGATGTAAAAATCTTACTGACAATGACCAAAGTTCACCAACGGATCACTAACCAAATCAAGTTGACACTCTCTTTCTCCTAAACAATACTTTCGCATCAAGTATATTGTATCATGAATTGCTCTTCTAGATGGCTTATTGTCATGAAATAAATCACCACCAAGCAAAATCATATCAACCTATGATAAAAAAATGGAGATACAAATTGAGATACAAAAATGGAGATACACAAATTTAGATAAAAAAAATGGAGATACACAAATGGAGTTATACAAACGGAGATAAACAAATGGAGATACACAAATGAAGGTATACAAATGGAGATAAACAAATGGAGATATACAAAGAGAGGTATACAAATGGAGACAAAAATTTTACATTGGATACACAAATGGAGATTAATTATATAAACATCACTTGAAAATAATTGTTAAGATTCCAACCTGATACTGTTGAGCGATTTGAAGAATTTCCTCAAAAGTATCAAAAGAATCATTCTGTCTGAGCGGATCGCGTTCAGCATACCCAATATGTGTATCAGTAGCTTTAAAGAAAAATTAATGTTGTTTAAAATGGTCAACTTTTTGAAAAGTTCTAGTTTATCGTCTGCTAATACCCTAGAACTAAGTACTTAAAACTATTATATACAATATTACGATATATTACTATATATATGTTGGTAACAGAGATATCAAGGGCAAGAGTAAGATGTGCCTAGGCCAAGTTCAGAAAACTTCAAATATAATTTCAATTGCTCCATTTCAAACAGCAAGAGATGCATCATTAAAAATAAGCTTGACCCATCTGTTAAGATGTATGGCAATAAAATATTAGCAATTAGGGTTAATGATTTTCTTAAAGTTAATATGCATCTGCAAAAAATAGAGATGTTGATTAGATAGATGTAGGGTGTGACTCTTAAAGAAAAAAAAAAAAAATTTAGAAAAAGATTAAAAATATAAATATTTCATATAAAATTATTGAAAAATATATATTTTGATTTCTTTCATTCTTACATCTCAGAGCATTTAACTTTATATGCGATCCATAATAAATAACTGTAAAATTTTAAAATATAAACAAACATTGATTTTTCAGCTGTTATTTATAAAAATGCTGATTTAACACTTTAGTTATTTTTAAAGAAACAGCAAAGTAACTTTGACATATAATATCTTGAATTTCTCTAAATTTCAGAAACCCAATAGATTTTCGCTTGAGAACTTTAAAAATAGCACTATGGGGATGTCATAGTCTCAATAGATACCTTTTTTATTTAATTATATTCAAAAACTTTTTCTTGTAAATTATTGGATTTTGAAGTTAAAATAAAACACCAAAATCCCTGGAGAAAAAATTGAATTTTATATAAAATACTTTATCTTAGATCTATTGAAAAATACTAGTTTTTTGTTTTGTTTCTTCAATTTAAATATATTAGCGCGGCAGGTTAGTGAAAAAATCTTTCAATTAATGATACAAGAACCAAATTTGACAGGATTGTAGTTTAACTATGTCTTTGAAAAAAAAGCATATTAGCCACAAAAAAAATCAAAATGGCGGCCATTTTTCAAGATTTTCGGACATTGACCAGAAATTTAGATACAAGGATTGACTGTGCCTCTCTAAATGTTACTTTTAGCGTTGGTAAAAGTCAGAATTCCGACATTTTCAAATCCTAAACTATGACAAAATATTCTTAATCTTTATTATAAATTTTATTTGCAAAATTTGCAGCCATTTTGTTAAAAAATATTGACTTTTAGGCCCTTTTCTGTTCTTTTGATGGTTTTTACACTTAATCTTGATGGTATTTGTTGAATTCAATTATGATTTGTTTAAGTTTAACTGCTTTTTATATTATTACAATTATTTTTTATATAACCAGTATATATATACATTTAAGCAGTGGTCGTCTTACTGGAACCTTCAATGACAACTTTGTTGAGAATTCGATACCACCCACGCTTCTTCAATTCGTTTCCATGATCGAACATTAAACTGACATAAAATCCCAATTACGATTTGGACATCCAAAACTGACCTAGCCATGGCCTAATTACTTCAGTATAACTGCTATACTAAATATCAAGAGGAGGATAAATTGTTGCGACACTCAATAGATCGTGAAACCCCATTCCCGGTGTTTTTGGGATTGTCTGTTTACTCGAAAACCAGAAAGAAACATTTAGTGGAATTACTTTATGATCATGGTTTAAGAATTTCATACGATAGGGTGTTTGAGGTTTGAGCTCAATTAGGCAATGCCACTGTAGGCAAATATAAAGCAGAAGCTTTGGTATGTCCAAATATTTAAAGAAAAGGTTTGTTTTCAACCTCAGCAATGGATAATATAGATCACAATCTAAATGCTATGACATCAATGTTTTCATTCCTTAGAACAAGTGTTTCTATATTCCAACACCCAACTTTAAAATGAGGGATTATTACAGGAACCATGGCAAATTGATAAGAAGATTAAGACCATTTCTAATCTTCCATACTTTTACACCAATGTTCCACTTGCTTTTTTCGGTACCAAAAATCCAAATCCCTACAAGTCGAAAATCAAGCACTGCTTCCACCTCTTGTTCTGAAACCAGATTATGATTGGTTACAAAAGGTTAGTCTCACAAAAACAGTCAACACAGATAGAATTGATATATCTTGGTCTTCACATCATGCTTCATTGAGTCTTATGACATGTTTTGTACAGAAACACAAGCTGATGACCAACCGGAACTTAGTTTTGATGATTGGTGTGACATGCGCAAGCATCAAAGTCCACAATTCCAATTCTGGTAAATGATTTTGGAAATGGAGCTTACCATTCTATCATTAGTACAGTCTTTCAGAGAAGCCAATTTCGATATATATTGCCAGGCTTTGCAAGAATTGTTGCCCTATTTTTTAGAAAATAACAACACCGATTATGCTAGTTGGTTACCAATCCATCTCTGAGATGTTTAGATCACACTCATCCACAGATAAAAACTGAGTTTCTGAAGGGCAATTTGTGGTCCATAAATCATCTCGAGAATTTTCCGTCTTAGCAATAGATCAAGCCCATGAACACGTAAATGCTGTTATCAAAGGTGAAGGTGGAGCAATTGGTGTCACAGAAGATCCGTCGGCTCTCAGATGATGGATGGTTGCTGGTCCCGAGGTGAGCCATCTCATTAGTACATATAAAAAGATATCAGATGGCAAAGATGATAATGAAATGCAACATCATGAGCAGACCACCCATGCACTAAAGACATTTCTGGAACGTGTAAACAAATTGTACAGTACTTTTACTGAGATGGGAAATCTGTTCCTAGAAGAAACAAGACTTGTTGACTTTAAATACCAAACAAGTTGCTTACCCAAGTATGGTAGAGAAAGTTGCTACTCATTATGAGACAGGAAAGAAACAATAAAAAGAATTTATGGCAAGCCTTTCACCTGACTCCAAAAGTAAATTCTACGAACCTATAAAGAAGAACAAGATAGACTTTTTCAGTCAGCCAGAACAGACAAACAAGGATCTAAAACAGAACCTAAAAGATGACTGCGCATTATTTTCCAAGTTATCTAAATCCTGTCAAGCCAGAGAATGCAACCTAAATGACTTCTTTCAACATGAAAACCAAGCTTTTCCGGCAGCATTGAGTGACTCTGGGAGACTACACTCATGCCAAAAGTCCCAGCTGGCAACAATTCTTGGCGAGGCAGTCGTTAACTCAGACAAACTACCAAATGCTGAAGCTAATATAATGGATGGGTTAGCTCTTGTGAATTCACTTATACCCAGAATTTTCTAAGACGTTTAACAAATATGCCAGACTTGAAGTCATTCCGAAAATTCAAACATACATTTCAAAGTATGTTAGAACTAATGTTGTGTTTGATGTGTACAAACTGTTGAGCTTAAAAGCAGAGACTAGATCAAAGTGAGGCTTTGGTGCACGACAAAGGGTTACAGGAACTAGAAAAATCCCAAAGAATTGGCAGAGCTTCATGAGAAATGACACCAACAAAACCGAATTATTTCAATATCAGGCAGATATGAACATTGTATAGACAACATCGTTTATATGACCCAAGTGTGACTGTGATATGCAATCATGAAGCAGATTTAGAAAACCTCGCACCTTGTAATCATGAAGAGTCTAATACAAGGATTTTTGTGCATATCTGCCACAGAGTTCAGAAAGGGCACAAAGTTGCGCTGATTAAAGCAAATGATACTGACATTTTTGTGATTGCTATTAGTGTTTCCCATATTTTTCTGGTTGCGATAACATATCAAGTTTCAAAGGCAAAGGGAAAAAATCACTATGGCAAATGTGGAGTGTCTGCACTGATGTGACCAATGTGTTTCGGAAGTTGAGTACCTATCCCCTGGTAGTAGATGGTCATGATATCGCTATAATTCAGATGTATGTTGTTTCATTGTATGACAGGTCTAGTCCGGTGACAAAGCACTTTGACATCACTTTGAACACAAATTTCAATGATCAGAACAATACTAGTGAAAATTAAAAAAAAAAAAACACTATAATATCAGTAGACAAAGACTTAATGAAAAAATAAATCAACTACCAATATCAGGCATAAATTGTTTTACTGGAAATAAAACTATAAGAGAAATAGTGAAAGAACAATTAATGGCCACAAAGGGTGATGCTCACTCATACAACAAAAGACCTACAAAAAAAATAAAAAAGTGCTATGGAGGTGAGTGTCTTACATCAGAAGATGCATTTAAAAGATTAAATGATGAAGAAAATAAAGGCTTTAAAAAAAAAGATCAAGCAGCGAGGCAAAATAAAAAAATTAATTTATTAGAAATATTAAATAAAAATTTTGAAAACTGCAAAATGTTAGGCTTTTACTTTGAAAATTTTTCCTTTAAATATCAAAAACAGTTCATTTTATCCCAGTTTACCCTAAGTTACAAGATTTTGTAAACTGAGAATAGTGGAGTAAACCATTACGAAGAAATAATAAAATGACATTTGTTCACAAGAGAGTTTTTCTTTTAGAAAAAAATGAAGAAAATATTAATGCTTAGAAATAGAAGCTGCATAAGGTATTGGTAGTAGAGGACAGACTTAATATAGACAAGAAGAAATAAATGCTGCCATGATTCAGAAGATTACATACGAGGTGCAATCATCATGAAAGACAAAAGACATCAATTATATCAATATCAATTATAAATGCAATTATCATGGAAATCACAGTATTTAGATTATATAATCATTAAAAAAATATTATAAAAAATTTAGATTATATAATTTATATAAAATAATCTAAAATAAGATATAAAAGATTAAGTGATAGACCACAGAATCATAGTGATAGACGTAGGACTGACCGACCCACTTAACAAAGAATAAGAAACTGAATACAAGCTGGGGCAGAGACAAAACACAAATCAAGGAGTGGAGGTAAGTGATTGCAAAAAAGCTAACTACTTACGCTAAACTTAAAAAATACAAAAGCTATGAGGTTTAGTTTCAGCCGGGTCAGTGGTGCCAGAGCCAAACCATTCAAGGTTTAACTTATGAAAAGTTATTTTGAAGATCACCTTGTAATACATTTGCTATAAAATACACTTTTCAAACTTTGAAAAGATTTTTTTTGAGTGCATAGTTTGATTAAGTATTAGAAAGTCAAAGAATGAATCTAGATTTTTTAGTAGACCTAAGATAAAATAATGATACTTAATTAAACTTATTAATTTTTGATGACAGCATGCATTTTAGCTCCAAAAATCATTAACTTACAAGTCATTTTTGAATGAAATTAAATAAATGAAGCATTCTTAAAATTTTATGTAAAATTTACTTCATCCCCTCATCAGATTCTCTCTTATCACTATGATTCTGCTTTGTGTCCATTTAAATCTGCAAGTAATATATTTTGGGCAGCAGAATAATATTTGCAGAATTGCATTGTTCATTACTCTAATTGTAAATTCTGTAAAAATAAGGACAACAGTGCAAATTTTCATTTTGCACCAAATTTTGCCAGCACATACAGGCCGACTGAAAACTTAACCTGTTGAGCTGAAACATCAACACTGGCATCAGTTTCGTTGTTACCAACACCACTGGTTGTGCATGTCTCTGACAACTCCACTGTTCCCTTTTCGAAATCAAACAGTGTTTGTTTTGTATCACTGAAATAGCTGTTGCAAGCAATTATGTAGAGTTGCTGACCTTCATTGTAGTGAGATGATTGTGCTTGAGGCAAGGACTTGTATTTTTTCCATCTGGCTTCTTGCATCTCCTTTTCATGTTCTACTTCATCTGGGGAGATGAGCAGCAGTTGCAAGGTTGATGCAGCAGCCTAGGCACATTTATAAAATGAGTTGGCATTTGCAACAATTACTTTACCTGCTAACACTCAGGACCAAACAATGCGTTTTACTGTTCCTCCTATCCCATCAACTGCCCCTTTTCTGTGGCTGGTGGCAAAGAAACTCCAGACAAGATTTTTCAACATTTGTAAACAAAAACTTATACAAAGGTGTACTCTATGCACTTCTGAGCATTAGACTTGACTATCTAAATAGTTTATATGTACACAAGTATTAAGTTAGTTTCACAATTAGTGTCATTGCACCATGTACCATGCACATTACTGCACCATACACCATGCACTTTTACAATTAGTTTTAAATATTGTCAAAACTTGTTCAACAAAAACTTAGATTCAAGCTGATACTAAAATGCTAACCTCTATGCTTCAAAGTGAATTTAAGTGAACTGTAAACCAGATATTTAAGTCAATCTTCGGAATTAAAATTTTGTTTACATAAATCTGCTTATTTACATAGAATATTGAACAACCAAATAAATAAACATATTACCATAGACATAAAGTATTTAGATATATAGAATATTCATTTGAACAACAATACCGCTTGTGCCACTTTGAAATGCAACAACTTCAAGTTTGTCACGCCTGACACTGGTGGTCACCTCTGACACCATATCTGCTATGCATGTAGATAATTTACCACACAAAAATCTACCCATACACTACTCTCACAGAGTTAACTTTGAACATGAGTCAGTATCTTTCAGTGTCAAGTCTTATGGCTGGTAAAAAATTTTTATAATAAAAATTGTCGGACGTGTCAGTATAGTTGTACTATAATTAAACTGTGCACTATAAAGCATAGAAGAGGTAGAACATAAATAACTTCCTATTTTTAGAGTCACAAGTGAACCAGTTTTATTTTGTAACTACCAGATGAAGGTACAGTATCATATAGCAGCTTGCAACAGAGTTATGAATGCTGAACATAGTTAACGAAATAAATTGGCTCCATAGATAATACTTCTTTTTCAACAATTTTGCCAATTTACTACAAAGATATAATAAATAAATTAAAAAAAAAAAATATATATATATATATATATATATATATATATATACATATATATATATATATATATATATATATATATATATATATATATATATATATATATATATATATATAGGCTGGCCAGATTTTTTAAAAATAAAGAGTATATTTCCATCAGGGTCAGCGCAAGTAGGTGTTACATAGAAGGGAGGGGGGGAAGGGGGAGGTAAGCCATTACAACTTTTGCTCACTAAAAAAAAAGTCCTTGTTTTTTAAAATTTTTCGACTGCATTAACAAACTGACTGTCTAAATTTACTGACTTACTTGTCTAAGCATTTGCTGACTGACAAAAAGGGTCAAATTTGCCCACTAAATGCAAGAAAAAATCATTAATGGGTATATGGCCATTAATTGGTATATAGTCAAAAATCTCATTATCACTAACAATAGGAATAGTCAATGATTTAGTTCGATTAAGAAAATATATGTAAGCTTCCTTTAACTTGTCATCTGAAAATTTCTTAACATAAGCTACTTTATATTCCATGCTTCATTACAAAATCTTCCAGCCCACTTTTTCAAATAACCAACTTTTTGTGGTATAAAATTTTACTACAACAGAAATCACATATTTTTTTTTTACTTCTATTTAAATATATCAAACTGACGATATATTTTTAGCATTATATCTTCAATATTTATTGGAATTACACGTGATTTTCGCTCTGTAAATTCTTTTAAAAATTTCCATGGATGTTACCTGCAATTTTATTAGTTGATGAAGCACCAAAGTTTATAGTGTTATCTGCTGAAAATCCAATAACATTATCTTGTGTATTGTTAAAGTTAATATCTTTTAAAATTATATTAGCTATTGTTTCTGCAATTTCATTTGGAAGGTTATGAACTTTTAAAGTACAAGACTTTATTTTGAAAGCTGGTTTAACAACCAGCTTTCAAAACAAAGTCTTGTATTTTAAAAGTGCATGTGATGCATCGAACCACATGTTGTTGCATATGATGTATTGAAACACAATATATATATATATATATATATATATATATATATATATATATATATATATATAAAGTATGTATGTATGTACATACATACATACATACATACATACATACATACATACATATATATATATATATATATATATATATATATATATATATAAAGTATGTATGTACATACATACATACATACATACATACATACATACATACATACATACATACATACATACATACATTACATTACATACATACATACATACATACATACATACATACATACATACATACATACATACATACATACATACATACATATATATATATATATATATATATATATATATATATATATATATATATATATATATATATATATATATATAACAAAATTAGTATAAAACCAATAATATATGTAGTACAAAGTAAACTCTAATGAAAGTAATAAAAAGTGCAAGTAAATAATTAAACAATGCCAATTTTATTTGTAAAACTCACCAACAAGAATTGACAGAACATTTTCTTCACTCGGATTACTATAGTAAAAAATGTACATCTTTAATAATAAGGAAGAAAAATATTGACTAAAATAATGAATTCAACTTATCTATCAATTAGCAATAACCCATAGCTAATAGGTAGATGAGATAAATTCTATGTTTTAATAAATGTATCATTATTATTTATTTCCCATAAACTCTTCTAAAAAAATAATTGCATCTGTTAACTGTTAATGAGATCAGTCTTTTACATAAAACGTATTATATTATATCAATATTATATAAGAGTAGTTTTTAAGTCAAACTTATTTTAATCGTGATAAAAGGAAGAGGAAAACTCTCACGTCCTAACTTAGTAAGTTATTTAGTATAAGTGATTTTTTACTCAGAAAAAATTTGTTGGTTGCCACCGAATAATAATATATTACGAGCCTTTGATTTTCCAAGGAAGATCGTTCCATTTTAAATCTTTTTATAAATCTTTTTTTTTTTTTTAAATCGATTAAAGATTATTTTTCTTATTTGATATCAACGTGAGCAAGCATTCGCGGCGGTTTCCCGGGTAACTATTTTACCGCCGAATATATTTTACACCTAGTATATTCGGTCACCGGATCCTCATTTAAATAGCTAATAGGTATTTCTCCGAAATACAATTTAGAAAATAAAGTACCGTGGTTATTGCAATTATTTGATTTATAGTAAAGAAGTTTTTTATTATCGTTATTACTTTTTCAACGGGGATGTTGTAATACTTTTGTATTTTGTATGATGACAATTATGACATGTCTGATAAATCTGAAAGTCTTAACCCGTTAACAGTCCATGCCGTAATATTGCGAAAACTAAAAGTGGTTTCTAAATGTCAATGCCGTAATATTACGGTTTTGTGCATCTACTTGTCACAAAAGTTATTACTAAATAATTACAGAGCTTTTGTTTCAATAATTTTCTTTTAAACGTGTTCAATTTAATTTTAAATATGACATACAAGGAAGTTCTTTCAGTGCAAAATAATTATCAAAAAGTAAACATTTACTCACAAAAATATAGAATTTTTTACATTTGATGACACAATAATGAAAAAATATATTTAATGAATGATTATTGAAAATGATAATAATAGAATAATGCTCAAAGATGGTGTGCGGTATGTTACAAACACAATATTCAAAAAGGTTCAGGATCTGCATATGTAAAATGTGATGTAGGACTTTTTACAGCTCCTTGCTCTTCACAATTATCATACAAAAAGTGAATATTAGTGAATGCATTTTTAAAATTTTATGTTTACATAGTATGATTTATATATTTTTAAACTTGAATAATAACATTTTGCAGTGTTTATTAATGTTAAAAATAGTAAAAAACATTTTTTATTCTATTAGTTAAAAACACGATGAATTCAAAAAAAAAGCTGGAATAATCGCGACCGTTTTTAAAAAAACACGGGACTGTTAAAGGGTTAAACTTGGAAAAACTTAATTTATATCAGATTCTTATTTTTATGTTCAAATATAAAAATAATATGCTACCGAGTTCTTTTTTAGACATATTTTCGTCATCATTTTCTGAAAGTTATAATCTGCGATTAAATAGCTTTCATAACTATTATATCAAAAAAACCCGGGGTTCTGAATTTTCAATTATGTCACAGGGTTCCAAAAATATGGAAAAACTTGAAAAATCAAAAATTAAAAGACTTAAATGGAATATCGTCGTTTAAACGGCAAGCAAAGCTGCATGTTCTTAGTTTGTAAAAATGATTGTAATAAATTTAAAAAAAAAATTATAAAAAGCAAAAAAAAATAAAATAAAAAAAAGTAAATAAATAGTAATTACAAAGCTAATTACAAAAAAATTATTTCTAAGTTTACTTTTTATATAAACATAGATATACGCCAAATGGCGCTATTAAGAAAATCTGCAAAAAGATTTTTTTGGAGTTTTATACCCAAAAATGCTGAATCTTCCTGATTTCCTTTTTTTATGTATTAAAGTATAGAAAAATAAATATATATAATAGTTATTATACCAGAATTTATTTTAAAGTTTGCATCAATACTATATTAATGTATCAATATTATATTTATGTATTTTTATCAATCTGATACGTAATAATTTTGTATAAATTTTTTTTTTTCACGATAATAAATGCATATTTTATATGGTATACCTGAAGAAGAAAAAGTAAATAAGTAAATAAATCATATTTGCGTCTCCTAAAACAAAACTGATTTTTTAGAGACTTTCAGATTCTGGTGTGGGGGCGGGAAGTGAATTCATACCCACCATCCCCCTGGATCTGTCACTGAATAACAGCAGCATGTTCTACTATAATTGCTTTATGCTGCCTAGGTTTTTGTTTATTCTCTAAAAGTCTTACCTTTGAAATGATGAATTTAACACACCTACAGGCATATATAACGTCACTGAATTTTTCCTACAACTCAACGATGCTCTCGAAAAAACTACATTGTTTGCTGTAGGGTAACAAGTAGGGGTGTACCGGATCGGAAATTTTATATTCCGTCCGTAACTGGATTTGCCGGAACTGTTAAGAAAATTCCGGCCGGAATTCCGGCCGAAACGAGAGTTATACTTAGGAATCGTCCATAAGGTACGTACGCTCAGATGAGAAGAGGGGGTCTGCAAATGGTGTATATGAGATGGAGGGCTGGAACACTTATAAAAGTAAGGAGACACTAAATTGAAAGAAAATATCATAAAATATTAGGTAGGTAGGTTAAAAGCGTAGGAGGTGAGGGTACTCAAGAAAGTGTATGACAAAATGCATTGGAGGAGTAAGGGGGATGTTGAAAAAAAAGCGTACTTATTTTATTGACGACTTCTTATGTAATTTTTTACCTTTAAGACAGAAATTGAAAGCCTAAACCTCAACATAGAGCCTACATAATATATATTTATGACCTATAATATATATATATATATATATATATATATATATATATATAATATATATATATATATATATATATATATATATATATATATTATTAAAAATTAAAAATTTAAAAACTTGCAATTATTAATTGCATTTATTGCTAACTATGTCAGCAATCGAAGATATAGCTACCGACGCTTTTAAAGCGGCAGTAGATCTAAAGGATTTAAATGCTATTCTCATGAAAAGTTATCAGAACGATATTGCTCTTATGATCGCAGCTCTACTTGTTGCTCTAGCGGAAGAAAAACGATCTAGTAAATTAAGAGAAAAAGCCCTGAATCACAAAACAAAATTGATTTACTGGTAAAACAAATTAATGAGTTGAAAGAATTAAAACTAATAGCCACACCATCATTTGCATCTTTGCTTAAGGATAAATCGGATGAGAGCAAACAGCAACGGCAGCAGTTAAGCACTTTCGTCACTGCTCAAAATAAAAATAATCGAAGTCGTGAGTTAAATGTCATTGTAGTTGGTCTTAATAATTCTAGTACTGTAGACGATAAAAAGCTTGTTGAGGATTTTTTTGTAGCAACAGGATTGGAAGACGCTACTGGTATCGCACGTGTTAACCGCCTCAAATCGAGCAAAAACAAAACAAAATTGTCAAACTCGAACATTATCCAGGTTTCATTATCAAATCTTTTATCTTGAACAGAAATAATCAAAAAATGCGCACATCACAAACAAGAGATATACAAGGGTGTCTACGTACGGGAAGAAAGAACGCCAGAGCAACAAACCGAGTTTAACACCACACGCACTTAACTCAAAAAGCTTAACGACCAACTTGCCGCTGCTAACATTCTTGATAATCCGTTTTGGAATATTATACATCGAAAAACAGGTCGCATCTGTTGCATCGATGTCATTGAATCAACGTCTAATCAGTGCTACGTATTTTCATCCCCAGCCTGAGCTCTGTCAGACTACGTTAGCACAGCCGCTCCTAACTCGGAAATCTCCACTGCCAACTAGACGTCCTAGATCAATAACTAGAGCAAAAATAAAACCGATGCAATCCGACACTTCTACAGTTTCACCTAGCCATCTATGTTACTGGGCAAGCAACCCATGTTCACTCAACAATGAAAAACGCCAAGAGCTCTTTGCTAGACTATCAGCTCTACATAAACTCAGCCGGCCACACGTCATTTTTTTTGCGGAAACTTGGTTCACAGATTTATCAGACGTTGCCGTACCCGGCTACCAACCACATCGCAAAGACAATAGAGACAATGGAGTTGCAATTTACACAAGAGACGATATCATAGTCAGCAAAGTTAGTTCTACTCAGCTCAATTCAACATCAATTGAGCAAATCTGGATTTCAATTTTAGCCATACATCTTATGAGTCTATCGAAGTTAATGGTGGCATTGCAACTGTTGCTCACGTGAGAGGTGAGCGTCAAGGCGACATCAGGTTCCAGAAGTGCCTTGATGAATGTCACTTAACTCAGATTATCACATTAACCTACCGTAGTAGTTGACACGTCGAGCCTACTAGTACACTCGACCTTATTATAACAAACGAGCCAGACCGTGTAATCTTCATTAAACAAGGCGATTCTCTTGGTGACACTCCAATGGGCCAAGCACACTGCTTCATCGAAGGCCAATTTGCTGTTGCATGTCTCAACAACTCGCCTACTTTGCCGCTAAAATCTCGACTTATTTGGAGTCGAGCAAACTACGCAGCAATATCAGGACATATTGCAGCTGTTGACTGGGAAACAGTATTCACTGGACTAAATGCAAACGAAGATTATCAACTTTTAGCAAACGTGTACAATGAAGCCACTAAACTACACATTCCGTCAACTACCACTCCCTTTACAGGAAAACAGGAGCAATGGGTAACACCAGAACTTATTGAGGTGGTCAAAGCTAAACGCACCTCTTGGGCCAAGTACATTTATGCAGGTCGAGACACGCACAAATTTCTCAAAATATCGCATCGCACTGCCTGCAAAAAAGTTAAAAAAAGGATCAAAGCTGGTAGGCAGAAGTACAAAAAGCTACTCGTCAGGGATTCTGAAAGCAACCCTAAACGCTTACATGCATATATAAGAAGCAAGCAGAGCGTCAGTAACAACATTACATCGTTTGAAACAGTCAATAGCAACATCACAACCGATACCGGTGATATATGCGCATCGTTAAATAACTATTTTCAATCAGTCTTTGTTTTAGAGCCCGAAAGTTCAATGCCAGGCTTTGAAAGTTGTACATAAGCAGTTTGTGTCATCGATCCAGCAATTTTCTCTATCGACATAATACAAATATGCCTAAACAGCCTTGATGAAAGAAAATCAACCGGCTACGATGGCTTACATCCACGGGTCCTCAGTAAATGTTTAGCTACTTTTGCCAAGCCTCTTTCGCTTATCTATAAACGCTCGTTTGCAACTGGTTTAGTTCCTGACTAGTGGAAAAAATTGAATGTAACACCTATTTTCAAGAAGGGGAGTAGGCTAAAAGCATCAAACTACCGGCCAGTCTCGCTCACTTTCATACCTTGCAAAATTATGGAAAGTATTTTACAAAAAAAAATAATGGAACACTGCGTTGCTAATGGACTAATTTCTCCAA